CTGATTACGAATCTGAATTTGAAAATTCCGAAAACAAAATGGCGGATCAGATATGGCGGAGGGGTTGTTGAAAAAATGATTTGATTTCAACAAAAATTGGTGTACGTATATTTTTGGGAATCCTGATTACGAATCTGAATTTGAAAATTCCGAAAACAAAATGGCGGATCAGATATGGCGGAGGGGTTGTTGAAAAAATGATTTGATTTCAACAAAAATTGGTGTACGTATATTTTTGGGAATCCTGATTACGAATCTGAATTTGAAAATTCCGAAAACAAAATGGCGGATCAGATATGGCGGAGGGGTTGTTGAAAAAATGATTTGATTTCAACAAAAATTGGTGTACGTATATTTTTGGGAATCCTGATTACGAATCTGAATTTGAAAATTCCGAAAACAAAATGGCGGATCAGATATGGCGGAGGGGTTGTTGAAAAAATGATTTGATTTCAACAAAAATTGGTGTACGTATATTTTTGGGAATCCTGATTACGAATCTGAATTTGAAAATTCCGAAAACAAAATGGCGGATCAGATATGGCGGAGGGGTTGTTGAAAAAATGATTTGATTTCAACAAAAATTGGTGTACGTATATTTTTGGGAATCCTGATTACGAATCTGAATTTGAAAATTCCGAAAACAAAATGGCGGATCAGATATGGCGGAGGGGTTGTTGAAAAAATGATTTGATTTCAACAAAAATTGGTGTACGTATATTTTTGGGAATCCTGATTACGAATCTGAATTTGAAAATTACGAAAACAAAATGGCGGATCAGATATGGCGGAGGGGTTGTTGAAAAAATGATTTGATTTCAACAAAAATTGGTGTACGTATATTTTTGGGAATCCTGATTACGAATCTGAATTTGAAAATTCCGAAAACAAAATGGCGGATCAGATATGGCGGAGGGGTTGTTGAAAAAATGATTTGATTTCAACAAAAATTGGTGTACGTATATTTTTGGGAATCCTGATTACGAATCTGAATTTGAAAATTACGAAAACAAAATGGCGGATCAGATATGGCGGATGGGTTGTTGAATTTAAAATCAATGAATGAATGAAAAAATGTGATTTTCGCGATCTTGAATTGTTAACAGCTCACGTCAAGGTCAATCAATTTCGATGAAATGTTCAGTATGCATACAAGTTACCGAGAAGTACCAAATGAATCTTTTAAATTTTCATTACAGGCTGCGATAACAGAGAAAACGAGAGTTTTTTTACATTTCCTTGTTCCAAGTTGTTTTCAATAAAAGTGATATTGGCGTGAGAAGAATGAAATTATCAATTAATTAAAATTTTACTTGAAAAAAAAACGGCGTCCTAGAATATTCAAGGTTATGTGCACCTAATATATTCTCAAATTTTTGAATCTGAATAGTACATATGTACTTGCAGTTCTTAAGTGACGGCTGTTCGAAAGCTATATTAGGCCCGACTGACCCAAAATGACATTTAACCCCACTACCGAAGGGTTAATTATTACACGAAAAAAAATAATCCAACTTCTACGAGATTTTGCAGCATTCAACAGACTTTCAATTGTCGAGAGTAAT